TCAGTCAGCGAGAGGGAGTTGACTTCTTCCAGACCTTCTCCCCCACCCCGAAGATGACCACTCTTCGGGTGCTGCTGCACGTTGCTGCTCACCGTGACTACGAGCTTCACTCTCTTGACTTCAGCACAGCTTTCTTGCAGGGCAGCCTGCACAAGGAGATCTGGCTGCGCCGCCCCCCGGGCTTCACTGGGTCGTTCCCTCCTGGTACCCAGTGGAGCCTCCGGCGGCCGGTCTACGGTCTCCGCCAGGCGCCACGTGAGTGGCACGACACACTGAGGACTACGCTTGCGGCTCTTGGGTTCGCGCCTTCTACTGCTGACCCGTCGCTGTTTCTGCGCACCGACACTTCACTGCCGCCGTTCTACATCCTCGTGTACGTCGACGACTTGGTTTTTGCCACTGCTGACACTGAGGCTCTCGCCCACGTGAAGTCGGAGCTGCAGAAGAGACACACGTGCACAGACTTGGGTGAGCTGCACAGCTACCTTGGCTTGCAGATCACCCGGGACAGAGCACGTCGCACCATCACCTTGACTCAGTCACACATGGTGCAGCAGGTCCTTCAGCGCTTCGGCTTCACCTGGTCTTCAGCACAGGCCACTCCTCTGGCTACAGGTCACACGCTCTCTGCTCCACCTTCGGACGAGTCCGTAGAGCCGAGTGGTCCTTACCCAGAGCTAGTTGGCTGCCTCATGTACCTGATGACTTGCACTCGACCTGACCTCGCGTACCCTCTTGGTCTCCTGGCTCGCTACGTGGCTCCTGGTCGGCACCAACCTGAGCACATGGCTGCTGCTAAGAGGGTACTGCGCTACTTGTGCAGCACATCAGGCATGGGGCTAGTGCTTGGAGGGACGAGCCTAGTTGTCCTCACTGGGCACTCAGACGCTTCTTGGGTTGACGACCTGGCTACTCAGCGGTCGTCACAGGGTTACACCTTCAGCCTTGGCTCTGGTTCAGTTTCGTGGCGTTCTACACGCTCGTCTTCAGTTCTCAGCTCCAGTTGTGAGGCTGAGATCTACGCCACAGCCATGGCTGCACAGGAGTTACGCTGGCTCACCTACCTGCTGACTGACTTGGGAGAGCAGCCTCGTTCTCCTCCAGTGCTGTACGTTGACAACAAGGCCGCCATTGCCTTGTGTGAGGAGCACAGACTGGAGCACAGAACGAAGCACATTGCTCTGCGTTACTTCCTGGCTCGAGAGTTGCAGCAGCGAGGCCAGCTTCGTCTTCGCCACGTGGCCACTCGGGCCAACACTGCTGATATATTCACCAAGGCACTTCCGTCTGGTGATCATCAGCGCTTTTGTACTCTGTTGGGCCTTGTGCCTACGTTTCCACACTTGTTGTAGTCTCTGCTTGTACTGTGATCTATATATACACTTGCATGCTGGCTCTTGCTAGGTAGCCATCACTGTACTGTTATTGCTGCATATATATCTCTGCATGTGAACTGGCCTTGTGGCCCTTTGCTTGTGCTCAGAATGCGTGGTGACGTTGTGATCCACCCTGAGCTTGTTTTGCTTCTCTTGACTGGTCGTGTGACCCCTTGTTCTCCCCCACTTTGCCTATGGGGGTGTGTCAAACTGTATGTGCTGCATATTGTCTAGGCTGTAGTGGGGTAGCCCATATGGGGTACAACCAAATTAGGGTTTACTACTTGTACTCCTGCATCCTGCTAGTTCATTCATTCCTGCTGCTAGATTCTAACACTCCTCACCGCAGCAAAGAGAAGCACGCAGTAACGAGAATGAACGCGAAGCGTCAGACGGTTGGAATTGACTCGAAGCGTCAGACAGTTACAGCACATCTGGACCGTCGGAGCAGATGGCATCGGGCAGCTGCAGGCAAGGTGGTTTTGGCGGGAACAGTTACGAAACTGTACGCGCCGCACGGTTGGGAATGCATTTGAATAAGGGAATGTACCCCTTAGAGTACATGGCTAGTTAGGTCTTTTCGTATTCCATTGTACTCTTATTTATATCACCTTGTTTGCATGTTTTAATCATCTCAAGCATTTTACATTCACTCTGCTATTGAGGTCAAGGGCCCACCAACACTACCGTACTGTGTGCGAACCTTCCTGAGTAGATCCTAGGCCACGATCAACTTCTGATCGCAGCATGGTATGAGAGCGGCTCAGGAATCCTTCGCACTGCCACTCCCGAAAATTGCGACATTCGGAAAGTGGCGTCCGGCACACGTTCACGAGTGAAGATGGCCGGAGGATCTGGTGGTCAGACTAATCTGACGGCTGAAGCGCAACCCAACCCGGCTGCGACAAGCGAGAACACGACGACAATCAACTCCGAAGTTCTCGCACAACTCCTTCAGCGACTCACCAGCTTGGAGCAAGGGCTCCAAACATTGCGGAATGGCGATGCGGGAACATCCTCGCAACCCTCTCAACCGGCCCCGACTGGCCAGAACGCCACCCCGCAAACTTTCTCCCTCGACACCAATGGCTCAACCCCCAAGACTCCCCGTCCCAGCGAAGAGGCAATTCTCTCCGCTCAATCAAGGTTTCTCAGCATATCAAAAATAAAGACAAGTACCTGTTTTGACGGCAGAGACTTTTACACCTGGAGCTTCGAGCTGGAGCTCCTGCTTCAGAACGCCCAGATCTTCCACTATTTCGACGGGAGCTACGCGGAGCCTGCTGAGGACACCGACGACGCCAAGGCGCGGTATTACAAAGAGTCGTTGATGGCGTACGGGGTGCTCCTGCGGAATATGTCGGCGGCGGAGCAGCTCAACATTCGTTCATACAAAACCACAGCTGCTCCAGCCCTTAACGCCTGGCGGCACCTGACAGGAGTCTACCAGCCCAAGGACTCTGTCTCTTCGAGCCGACTACTCCAGGAACTCCTGGAAACTAAGATGACCGCAGGGGAGAAGGTCAACAATTACCTTAACCGCTGTCGGAGCCTTCGCTCTCTCAACTCCCTACCGAACCCCCGGACCGAACCACAAACCTGACAACAAAGCCTTATCCCCTGCTGGGATTCAGACTTACCAGCAGCAGTTGGGATGCCTTCTCTTCGCCTCTGTCACCTGCAGGCCAGACCTCTCGTACATCGCCAGTCATCTGGCGCAGTACTCACGCAAACCAACGGCTGAGAATCATCTGGACCTGCAGCGCGCTCTTCAATTCTTCGTCTCAACGCCCAAGATTGGGCTGTGCTACTCAACTGCACCAACTCCATCCTTCAACCTCGTAGGCTACGTGGACGCCGATCACGCAGCAGACCCTGATAATCGACGGTCCAGGACCGGCTTCCTGTTCCGACTCGAGCCATCGGGACCAATCTCCTGGAATTCGCAGAAGCAGGAGTTGGTTGCCCTGTCATCAGCCGAAGCGGAATTTATCGCAGCAACCGCAGCAGTTCGCGAAGGCCTCTACCTGCAGGAACTCCTGCAAGAAGCGAAAATTCCGACTTCGCCGACCTTCCGCCTTCACTGCGACAACCAGAGCGCGATTCGTATCGCGAACAAACCTGGCTTCGTCAACCGCACCAAGCACATTGCGCTGCGGTATTTCTTTGTGAAGGATGAGGTGGACAAGGGCAAGGTCAACTTGACCTACTGCCCGACCGGTGACATGGCAGCAGACTTTCTCACGAAGCGACTGCCACGCCAGCAGTATCAACACTGCTCCGAACTCAGCGGCGTGGTCAAGCAGGTCAAGTCGAGCTACGGCCAGGAGTGAAGGGGGGTGTTACGAATAGTAACATTTGATATTACTGTGCACTCCTCACCGCAGCAAAGAGAAGCACGCAGTAACGAGAATGAACGCGAAGCGTCAGACGGTTGGAATTGACTCGAAGCGTCAGACAGTTGGGACACATCTGGACCGTCGGAGCAGACGGCATCGGGCAGCTGCAGGCAAGGTGGTTTTGGCGGGAACAGTTACGAAACTGTACGCGCCGCACGGTTGGGAATGCATTTGAATAAGGGAATGTACCCCTTAGAGTACATGGCTAGTTAGGTCTTTTCGTATTCCATTGTACTCTTATTTATATCACCTTGTTTGCATGTTTTAATCATCTCAAGCATTTTACATTCACTCTGCTATTGAGGTCAAGGGCCCACCAACACTACCGTACTGTGTGCGAACCTTCCTGAGTAGATCCTAGGCCACGATCAACTTCTGATCGCAGCACTTTCAAACATTTCTACCGCCTAAAATTTAATTCAATGCACAGAACTCGCAATACGGGCTAGTATTAACTTTAAAAGTTACGTTTAGTGGGAAATGGCAAATGTGGTGATTAGTTGGTTTTAATCTACTAGTTAGCTCGAGATTGTGGCTCATACTAACTGTTTCCAATACGCAGAAGTGAGTCACCACTCTGGCGTTCATAAACTCTAAACGCATCTCGCCTATATAGCTGATTGTTCAGTTGCAATTCACGAACCTCGCCAATCTCCGGTGATTGGTTCAGAGTTGTCGTCAAAGACCGTGATTCGTCGCCAAAGGTTGGTTGGAGGTTGCTGGCAGTTGTGTGGCTGGAAGGGCAGGACAGCCGACGCGCGACAGCAAGCGGATGTGGCGCAGTGCTGGCATTGGGAGTGACGGTGAGGCAGGCAGGGCGTCATCTGAAATTCGCGTTGCTCAGCCGAGACGCGTAGCGGGAGGAATGAGCCCCGCCAATAAATGTCGAGGAAATGGTGCAATGTGCAATGTCAAGATGCATGCACCTCGCTTTGCAACGCTGGTGCTGCCATGGCTGCCGTGCTGCAACCACACACACGTGACTTCCCTGATCGTGGCACAGAAACCCGTCTCAATCCTTCATTATTCATCGGGGGTTATCTCCTCGCTTATCCTCCACTGAGGAGCTGAATTCTGCCTTATCTGAATTCTAAAGCTTAATTCTAAAGCTTCTATTTATCTTCGGTTGCGCTTGGACGCACTTGCCCCCCAACATCAATAGCTGCGCAGCGCAACACCTGTCGCTTGTTAGCCGAACGACGAAGTAGCTGAAATGAACGTGACTATGGCGAGCCAAGCAGTAGCGCCACGGCAGTGGGTTCCGCCCGCGGCGGCGCGCGGGGGGAGGCGGAGCAAGTGCTCGTGGGGGCAATTTCACCTTCAGTGGCGGGCGGCGAGTGCGGGGCTGAGGAGCCGCGAGGCGCAAAGACCATCAGGTGAGCGTCGGCTCGCGCTCGCACGCGCCTGTGCGCTACCTGACATGCAATAATCTATTTCACGGAATGTTTGCTCGCTAATTTTTGCCCCGACTCCCCTGCGTTGCCTGGCGTCAAGGCGTTATCCCCGCTGGATTTACCAATTGCGAGTGGCGCCTTGCTATCCCAGCAAATCCGCTGGATTTACCGCAATTGGCGTCATTACACCGTGCTGGGTGCAGCGTGCAGCGCGCGCGATTAAAGCTCACCTTCCGCTGTGTTCCCCGCATCGCTTCCAGCCATCCACTCCGCAGGCCCGGCCTTCAAGCGCGCATGGCATCGACCGGCGGCATCGCCGCGCGGAGTGAAGGCGCTGCGAGTCCGCGCCGCTCTGAGCATCGATGCCGCACGGTGAGTTGCTACCGTTGCCGCCGCCGCCGCGCACGTTGCTGCAGTCAATCTTCCGCGGTCAAGCTAGCGCCACCATCCACCCACTTGTTTCTTCGCGCTGCGACTCCTTCTGTCCACCTCCTGCTGCGCGCTAATTCCGACTCCGCCGTTGCGCCACCCTTCTTTTCAATTCCCGCTTTCCCCTCTCCAGCAGCAACACGGCAGTCGACCCCTTCTCGTTGCTCTCCGCCGTTCCGGCGCTCCGCGCGCCGCCTCTAGAGGAGGACGCAACGTGCATGGCGGTGGGCGAGATCCTCGCGGGAGGCGGAAGTCGCCGCTCGGAAGAGGGATATCTGGGGGAAGCTTGCGCTGCTGCCGACGTGCCCTCGACGCCCAACCGCCTGGTGCGTGCGCGCGCCGTCTGTGCCGCGAATCTTGTGCTCCTCTGCTGCTCCTCCGCACGCCCTATTTCTTACCTACTTGTTTGAACCGCCCCACTGTGCCCCGTGACCCACAGCGTCCCCTCCCCCTCCCTCGCTTTTCCGCCCGCCCGCCCTCCAGGCGTCCCGGTTAGGCGTGCTCTTCTTATCCGCCGCGGCTGCAGCGGCGGCGGGAACGAGCATGTCTGCGCAGGCCGTGCAGGCGGAAGCAGTGCGGACGGACGCCTTTCAGGCGGAAACAGTTTGGGCGGAGGCAGTGCAGGCGGAGGCAGCAGCGACAGCACTGACAGCAGTGACGGCACCAGCAGAGGCAGAACGGCAGGCGGCAGAGATTGCGTGGCAGCTGCCGCCCGTAGCGGTGGTTGCTGCTACAGCCGTGCCAGCTGTCGGTCCAGCTGGCGGTAGTCGTAGTCCACGTAAGCAGACAGCTCAGCAGCACGTGGCAGCGCTGGAGGGGCGCATGCAGCGGATGATGGCGTGGGTGCGCCAGGGCAGGCGGGGGCGGGCGGAGGTACCGGGGGAAGCGGGGCGCGAGGGGCAAGAGGAGCAGTCAACGGCAGCGCAGCAGGCTGAGGTGAGGGCAGCATCGGAAACCGCCGTCTCTGCGCTGTGCGCTCCGCCCTTTCTTCCTTCCTTGCTCAACCTTCCGCCCTGTATTTCGTCTCACCATCTGTTCCTCTCCAATTGTTTCCCCCCTCCTTCACCCCCCTTCTGCTGCAGCTGCGGCGGCGAGTGGCGGGGGTGGTGGAGGGGCGGAGGGCGACCAGGCGGAAACAGCGAGGGGGAGGGGGGGACGTGGAGGGCTCGGGGGGGCGAGGGGCCGTGGGCTTGGAGGAGGCGGGCAGTGGAGTGGGAGGAGCGCGGTTGAGAGAGATGGGAGGAGAGGGAGTGCGGTTGAGCGGTGGTGGGGAGTGGCTGAAGGGGGTGGCAGAGCAGTATGGCATGGCGCTGCCGTCAGCTGTGGGGACCAGCAGGGGTGGAGCAGCCACGAGCAGCAACGACCCAGCAGCATCAGCGGCGGCGGCGGTGGTGGCGGGGAGGGTGCTAGCGGCGCTGAGGCAAGCGGAGCAGTCCACTCGCTCTGCAGCAACCCCACACCCCGCCACGCCACCTGCCTCCTCCCCCCCACACGCCGCAGCAGCTGCTGAGAGCAGGGCGCGGGCGATGCAGCCAGCGCTGTCGCCCCTTGAACAGAAGCTGGTGCGTTGGGGGGCAAGGAGGAGAGATGAAGCGAGTTGTGAGCGGCCATGGATGATCATCGCTGATGTGCGCCTTGCTGCAACATGCTCCCCTCGCCCCGCATGTGTCCCATGCATCGTGCCCCTCACCTGTTGCCCCTCTCATATGTCATGCCTCTGTCCCTCTCCTTCACGCGCGCGTGTGTTTGTGTGTGTGTGTGTGTGTGTGTGTGTGTGTGTGTGTGTGTGTGTGTGGAGCGCAGGAGGAGGCGGAGGCAGCGTGGCAGCGGTACGAGGCGGCGGTGCAGTGGACGGAGGGGCGCCTCTCAGCACTCGGCATGCTCGCCCTCACCTCCACCTGCCCGCCCTCGTCCTCCCTTGCTGCCTCGCGCACCCAGCTGCTCTCCTCCCTCGCCTTCGCCCAGAAACGCGCAGCTGAGGTGGGTGCATAGCGAGGGTAATACATGCATGCAGTGCATAGTGGCATGCATGAGCCTGAAGCTCGTCTCCCCTGCCATTCCGCCCTGTGTGTGTGCGTGCAGGAGGAGCAGCGAGTCATCCACCTGCGCCAGCAGCTCACCAACAGCCGCACGCTCTCACAACCCCCCTCTTCCACATCCTCACCCTCCTCGCCCCTCTTCACCGCACTGCCTCCTTTCCAATCCACCGTAACACAACCTGCGTCCCCGTCTCTCCTTCCTACACCGTCACCGCCAACAGCAGTGCCCTCCTCCTCCTCACACACTCCCCACCCACCGCGCTCGTTGTCGCTGCCGTCACGGCTGCTCTCACCCGCCGCATGGTGCCCCACCGAGGCCGCTCACACCACCCAGACCTTGCCCGACGCCACCACCACCCTCGCCAGCACCCACGCTGCCTTGAGCATTCTCCAGCAGGTGCGTTGCACTCTCGCACTCACCACCTGCCTGCCTGCCTGTGCTGCTGCTTGCAACCTGCCTGTCCACCTCGCACGCACCATGCTCATACCATGCCCTTTGCTGATTTGTTCCTTGTTCTTCCCCAGGCGCCAGTGCTGGTGGAGGGGGCAGGCGGGGGCGAGTGGGCGAGGGAGTTCGTGGCGGAGTCGGTGGCGAGGGAGCTCAGCAAGCGCCGCACCGCCCATGGCCACGCAGCGTGACGTGGCCAGGGAGGCTAAACTACTTGGGAGGAGTGTTACCCTGAACAGATGTTGTACCGTAGTAAACTGCCTCGCACAACAGCATTTGGCTGGGCATACGTGTGTACAGGACTTGCATGCTTTTTTTCATGCCAGACCATGTCAAATGCAAATAGTATTGTTAGAATCTAGCAGCAGGAATGACTGAACTAACAGGATGCAGGAGTACAAGTAGTAAACCCTAATTGGGTTGTACCCCATATGGGCTACCCCACTACAGCCTAGACAATATGCAGCACATATAGTTTGACACACCCCCATAGGCAAAGTGGGGGAGAACAAGAGGTCACACGACCAGTCAAGAGAAGCAAAACAAGCTCAGGGTGGATCACAACGTCACCACGCATTCCGAGCACAAGCAAAGGGCCACTGGGCCAGTACAGTGATGGCTACCTAGCAAGAGCCAGCATGCATATATATATATATGTACAGATCACAGTACAAGCAGAGACTACAGCAAGTGTGGAAACGTAGGCACAAGGCCTAACAGAGTACAAAAGCGCTGATGATCACCAGACGGAAGTGCCTTGGTGAATATATCAGCAGTGTTGGCCCGAGTGGCCACGTGGCGAAGACGAAGCTGGCCTCGCTGCTGCAACTCTCGAGCCAGGAAGTAACGCAGAGCAATGTGCTTCGTTCTGTGCTCCAGTCTGTGCTCCTCACACAAGGCAATGGCAGCCTTGTTGTCAACGTACAGCACTGGAGGAGAACGAGGCTGCTCTCCCAAGTCAGTCAGCAGGTAGGTGAGCCAGCGTAACTCCTGTGCAGCCATGGCGGTGGCGTAGATCTCAGCCTCACAACTGGAGCCGAGAACTGAAGACGAGCGTGTAGAACGCCACGAAACTGAACCAGAGCCAAGGCTGAAGGTGTAACCCTGTGACGACCGCTGAGTAGCCAGGTCGTCAACCCAAGAAGCGTCTGAGTGCCCAGTGAGGACAACTGGGCTCGTCCCTCCAAGCACTAGCCCCATGCCTGATGTGCTGCACAAGTAACGCAGTACCCTCTTAGCAGCAGCCATGTGCTCAGGTCGGTGCCGACCAGGAGCCACGTAGCGAGCCAGGAGACCAAGAGGGTACGCGAGGTCAGGTCGAGTGCAAGTCATCAGGTACATGAGGCAGCCGACTAGCTCTGGGTAAGGACCACTCGGCTCTACGGACTCGTCCGAAGGTGGAGCAGAGAGCGTGTGACCTGTAGCCAGAGGAGTGGCCTGTGCTGAAGACCAGGTGAAGCCGAAGCGCTGAAGGACCTGCTGCACCATGTGTGACTAAGTCAAGGTGATGGTGCGACGTGCTCTGTCTCGGGTGATCTGCAAGCCAAGGTAGCTGCGCAGCTCACCCAAGTCTGTGCACGTGTGTCTCTTCTGCAGCTCCGACTTCACGTGGGCGAGAGCCTCAGTGTCAGCAGTGGCAAAAACCAAGTCGTCGACGTACACGAGGATGTAGAACGGCGGCAGGGAAGTGTCGGTGCACAGAAACAGCGACGGGTCAGCAGTAGAAGGCGCAAACCCAAGAGCCGCAAGTGCAGTCCTCAGTGTGTCGTGCCACTCACGTGGCGCCTGGCGGAGACCGTAGACCGGCCGCCGGAGGCTCCACTGGGTACCAGGAGGGAACGACCCAGTGAAGCCCGGGGGGCGGCGCAGCCAGATCTCCTCGTGCAGGCTACCCTGCAAGAAAGCTGTGCTGAAGTCAAGAGAGTGAAGCTCGTAGTCACGGTGAGCAGCAACGTGCAGCAGCACCCGAAGAGTGGTCATCTTCGGGGTGGGGGAGAAGGTCTGGAAGAAGTCAACTCCCTCTCGCTGACTGAAGCCTCGAGCCACGTAACGCGCCTTGAAGACAGGCGGAGAACCCGGCGGCCGCTTCACCCTGAAAATCCACATGCCACTGACGATGTTCGCCCCAGGTGGGGGAACCTCGTCAACGTAGGTGCCTGTGGACTTCCAGGAAGCCATCTCTGCGTCCATGGCTGCCTGCCACTGAGAGGAGTAGGGACCCTCTATCGCCTCTGCGTAAGAGCGCGGAGTCGGGATGTCTGGTGCATCCGGGTCTCCCTCAGGGGCAAGTAGCGAGGACACAAGATGAGGTAAAGCAGCAGCAAGACACTGGAACTCCTCCTGCCTGTCCTCAAGGACGTCCGTGCTAAGAGCACACTCACCCCTGACGGACGGAGGACAGACAGACTCAGACTCAGCAACAAGACTAGCGGCGTAGTCTAGACGACAGGCAGCAGCAAAGTCAACAAGCTCAGCGACCAAGGCAGACGCAGCAGTAGACTCAAACGACGGGTCAGTGACAACAGTGGCTAGGAGACGCGTGACAGTAGGGTGCTCAGTACGAAACCTGTCAGACTCAGGGTCCGGAACGGCAGGCAGAGAGGACGCAGGGGGAGACGGCAGAGGAACAGGCTGCAGAGCAGAGGAAGGACGACGGACTACGAGGCGTGCGCTGGGGACAGCCGGCTGACGCGATTGAGGAACACGACGACCGGTACGACCAGGACGAGCAGGCGAGACAGGACGCGACGCAGGCTCACGACGCTCAGCAGGACTACCAGTCTGCTCAGTGTAAGGAGAAGGAGCAGGCAGCGGTGAGCCAGGCTGTAACGGAAGACCAGTAGACGACGGGAGAGTAACAACCTGACGAAGAGCAGAGTCAGGCGGCGGCAGAGACGACGGAGACGGCGGAGCGAAGAACAGCCGTGTCGGCGCAGCTGCACCAGTACCGGCAGCTCCAGCAGCTCCAGTGCCTCCAGCAGCTCCAGTACCTCCAGCAGCTCCCGTACCTCCAGCAGCTCCAGAAGCTCCAGTCCCAGGGTCTCCAGCCTTAGTGTCTCCAGCAGCAGCACCCCCAGAACCAGCACCTCCAGTCCCAGGGTCTCCAGCCTCAGTGTCTCCAGCACGAGCACCTCCAGAACCAGCGACTCCAGCACCTCCAGTAGACAAAGGACCAGCACCACTCCTAGCTCCAGCAGCGCGACGCTGACGGCGACCGTACCAGTCGTGCAGCTGCTGTGGGGTGAGAGGCACACGTGGACGAAGGCGGCCACTCCAAGGAGACCGCGCAACAGCAGACTCAGAACCCTCAGCGCCCGCACCCCCAACGGCTCCAGAACCTCCGGTGTCAGTACCCTCAGCACCAGTACCTCCAGCGGCTCCAGAACCTCCAGCGCGAGCACCCTCAGCAGCTCCAGAACCTCCAGCTCCAGCGCCACCAGTACTAGGCCCTCCAGCAGCTCCCGAACCTCCAGCGCCAGCACCCTCAGTAGCTCCAGAACCTCCAGCGTCAGTACCGCCAAGCTCAGCACCCCCAGACCCCTCACACTCAGGCTCAGCACCACCAGGCTCTACACCCTCAAGCTCCGCACCCTCAGGCTCAGTACCCCCAGGCTCAGCACCCTCAGGCTCCGCACCCCCAGGCTCAGCACCCCCAGAAGTAGTACCCCGAGCAGGACCACTCTCAGTAGGACCTGAGTCACCAGTGACCTCAACCGGCGCAGTCAAGGGAGGAGGGTCTACCTGAGAAACACCTGAAGGAGCAGGACCGGGAGCGGGGAGGGGGTCTACCTGGGGAGCACCTGGAGCGAGGAAGAGCGGCGGGGGGGGGAGCGAGGCAGTGCGGTAGGGGAAGAGACGGTAAAAGGGAACCGACTCGTCGAACGTGACGTCCTGAGACGCAAAGACACGGCGCGAGGCGGGGTGGTAAAACTGCCAACCAGGCGCGTCAGGGACAAAGCCAAGGAAGACACAGGGAACAGCGCGGGCGGAGAGCTTGTCCGCGGTGGTATCGCGGACAAAGGCACGAGCACCCCAGACCCGGAAACGCGACGCATCGCCAACCTTCCCCGTCCACAGCAGTGTGGGCGAGGTCTCCGGCAAGGAGACACGGGGCCAAAGGTTGAGCTGATGCGCGGCGTACCGGACCGCAAACGGCCACAGAAAATGGGGGGCAGCCGCATGGATCATGGAGGTACGAGCGACCTCCATGACTAAGCCAATGCGGCGCTCAGCAACCCCAATCTGCTGCGGAGACGCCGGAAGCGTGAACGACTGGGTGATGCCGTGCTCCGCACAGTAGGCTGCCAAGAGGTCGGAGGAGAACTCACCACCTCTGTCAGAGTGCAGACGCAGGACAGGAAAGTCCGACCGGAACCGCTCGCGGAGCTGGAGACGAACAGCGCGGATCCAGGGGATCAAAACAGCAGGGACATCCGCCTTGGTCCGCAAGGGGAAGACCGTGGTGTAACGCGTGTAGTCGTCGACAACCAGCAGGAAGTACCGCTCGTGGCCCTGTCCCTGGACGCGGGCTGGGCCCCACACGTCCAGGTGGAGCGTCTGCAGTGGAGCCTCTGTGGGAGGAAACGAGGAGGAGTGAGGAGCAGCGCGTTGCCGCCCCTCGACGCAAGGAATGCAGGGTGGCGCAGGCGAGGGAGGGAGGGCAGGCAGAGACCTGGGGAGACCAGAGACCAGGGAGCGAGAGTGCATGCTACGCAGGCGAGGCAAGGAGGGGTGACCAAGGCGGTGGTGCCACAGGAGAGTGTCGTGTGACAAAGCGCGACACTCGCAGGGGGCCGCCAGCTGACCAGACGCAGACGCAGACGCAGACGCAGACGCAGACGCAGACGCAGACGCAGACGCAGCTACCTGAGGGGACTCAGTGGTCAGTGTGTACAGACTCGAGCCAGGTGCACGGGTGAACGTGGCCAAGTGCCGGCCCGTCCTAGCACACGTACAGTGAGTCACTCGCTGACTCGCAGGAGTGAACTGGTGAACCCCCCCATCCTGGAGGTCAGCTCCACTCACCAAGTTCGTAGAGAACGAGGGGAGGTAAAGACCTGACAGCGAGCCGGACGGGACGGCCGGACACGGCAGAACCGTGGAATAGTGGGCAAGGACTGGACCCCCAGAGGGGTCCGCCAGGGAGACCGGGACTGGCCGACGGAGCGGCGTGAGTGCGGTGCAGTCGCGA